TTAATTTTTAATTTTTATATTTTTATATTTTAAGGGTTTTAAACAACTTTTTAAGTTTAGATTTATATAAAGAAAAATTTAACTTGAATTTTTTTTTAAAAGGTAAATAAATAAAATAGGAAGAGAGAGATTATAAAGAAAAAAAAGTAGAAGACTCGTTAGTAATTTTATAATTTAAATTAATCACATTACCCACTCAATGTCATATTAGCACCAAGCCATTCCTTGGTAACGGAGTAATAAGGATGTAAACGGAAATATGACATTTGATGATGTCATCGTCAGCAAAAAAGTTGATTCACGGGTTTTGTAAAGTACATGGGCTGATTTGCATTATTTTTAAGTAAAGGGGTTGATATATCACAATAATAAACGTAGAGGAGCTGAATTGCACGTTCTGCCATCTTTTTATGTCACCAGCAAATGTCAATGTTATATCTTCGGTGTCCGGAGACTTCAAGGGCACGTTTCACATGGTTGCTGAGCTCTAGGCCGTCACCGGCCACGGTGTCGGACGCTGGTAATGATTGTACATTTCCCTTCGCTCAGACAATCACTTTATATCGCTCTTCACATGGTCATTTGCCGGCTTTTTCTGTTTTCGATGGAGCAATAATTAATTTTTCTGAATTATTTATCCTGCTTTTGTAGAAAGTTGTCCTGATCAGTTGCAGTCAATTTCAGTTCATTATTAATTGATTTAGTGATGATTTTGAGAGATGATGTTTAAGATACCAAAGTTCAAAGTTAAAACTCAGCTCTTCACGCCGCTCTCAATCCCTCACCCTCCTCAAGTTTCCCAATTCAACAACCAAAGACGAAGAAGAAGAAGAAGAAAAATAAAAAGAAAAGGAGGCAGGCAATTCCATTACCATTTTTAAAACGGGGCTATGATATTAGGAAGAATATTTGAGAAAAGAAAGACGTACAACTGTAAAATTTTTTCGAGCGTAATTTTTCTATGAAAAATAAGAGTAACTTTTTGCAAATATTCAAAAGGAGCTGGGGGGTGTTGAACACCCAATCAGGGGTTATAGAGATGAGCATGGTTTAATTTTAGTTATAATTAAAATTAAATGATTAGTTTCTTAAAATTTTAAAATTTAATAATTAT